TATTACTATTACTATTATTACTATTATTATTATTACTATTATTATTAATATGAATTAAACTTGGATTGGATGTACATTTCTCAGAATTGCATCAACCTAAGTACAGACTCAGAAAGGACTACACTTCAATCATTCCCTTTGAGGGAATGATTTCTCCTGTACCTTTGGCAGTAGTTTCAGAGTCTAGCCCCAAATTATCACTCTCCTAAGAAACACCACAATCACTCCCACCAGCATTCATTATTCTTTATGTTAGTTCACACTACTCAAGTGCTAACTTTCAGGTCCTGGCCTTTTACCTGTCTGTGAGAGAGTTGCTCTTTCAAGCTCAAATGTCCAAGTTCTGGAGAGGTGAGTGTGGCCTGGGCTTGCTCCAGAGCAACCTGCAGGGCTCTCAGCTCAACTTCAAATTTCTTCATGTCCTGTAAAAGAACACATTTGATTCAGGGATAAATAAGGAGGGGGAAAAAAAAATCAAACTAAAAAAAAAACCAGGAAAAAAAATCCCAACAATATAAATATTTCTGGATTTTGTAGCTATGTCCCTTATATACAGTCCCAAAACTAATTCATAGTTTTAAAAATGAATTTTAAAATATTGGATAAAAATACCAGTCACATGATAGTCTAGAAAAAGAGATCTCAAAGCCAGAGTTATTATTTCAAGTTACTTCCTCAATCTCAAATACAGCATGTACTTTACAAAGCTAATTTCATAAAGTTCAAGGCCTAGAAAGGAACTCAAGATGTCCTCTAGTCATCTTCCTGTAATAAGACTGTCTTTATGTTTACAGACTGTTCTTAAAGACCTTTTGCAGTGGACTCCCATTTATCTCTACAGACAACATACTCAACTATTTCAGTACTCACCTTTTGCATATATATTTTTCTGATGGTGTGAAATTAAGTTACCTTTTGTTGTAACTTCAGTCTTCTGCTTACAACCTCATTAACAACAGATGTGAAGAGCAAATTATTTTTACTCTCTCTGAATACATCATATGTTAGGATAATTTTTTATGCATCTTTTCTATAAATTTATACACATATTGCAATCATCACTATCCTCTGTTCTTTCTCCAAGTCTTCTTCATCTGTCTTCAAGTGCAAAACTGGATACAGCTGAAACCTCATTAGTGACCAACAGGTAGAACAGAAGGACTAATTCGTAAACCTTACAATTCTGTAATTTATATTCTGCATGGTGTTTGGATTTTTTACAATGATGTGACATTGTTCACTCATTTTTCCATGATCTGCTTTATTAAACTTAAGACTTTTCAACAGGGTGCATCAAGCCAGTTAGTTCTTCATTCATTGGAACTTCTGGTCCTTCCTATCTAAACACAATTAGCCCCTATCTCTGTTGATCAACAGCCTAGTTTTTTTCAGGTACACTTGGTGTTTAATAAGCATCCCAAAAGCCATGATCTCTAAATGACCATCCAACTCATTAATGAAAATATTGAATACTACCAGATCCAAGGGAGAATGCTACAAACCCCTACAGCCCAAAGACCTTTTGGGCTGTGAACCGTTGATAATTACACACCAGAAAAGCTTTCTAGCCACCTTTACACCTACTCATTGGATTTTCAACTGGATAAGCTCATTAGCTTTGTCAATAACAATATCATATGAAACATTATTAAAGTCAAGATATATGACATACATTTATATACAAATCTATTACTTTCACATTAAATTAGACATTCTTGATATGATTTTTTTTTTCTTCATAAATCTATGCTGGCTTCTATCCATGTCCAAGTTTTCTTATAAGAATTTACAAATAGTTTATTCAATTGTTCCAATATTTCTTTGAGAAATGAAGCTAGTAAGTTTCACTTCTACTACGCTTGCTTGTGTACACATCTTTGGTTTGTTCTATGAAAAATAATAATAATAAAAGCCTTCTGGTCATACATTGTGGTTTACTGTAAGAGTAAGCAAAGCACAAAAGATTTCTGTGCTTTTCCCTGTGTCTTGCACCAGTTTACCATGCCCTCAGGCACTTCAGAGACATAATTCACATTTACATTTACCTATATGGAAGAACTGAGCAGAAATGCCAGTGACATGAACAAGCATGTTCATTCTTTTTATTGCACTCTCTTGTAGTCTTACATTATGAAACTCAGGTCTGGTCCAGTACTGATCTGAATGAATATAAGCAGGCTTTAGATATCTTTAAACAAGAGAATAAAGGAAACGGCACAGTATTTAAAGTGCCAACACAGACACTTTTCAAGTATCTAAACATAGGTGCTCAGTGCCATTTGAGAGACACCATGATCCCCATCCATCCAGAATGGGCAGATAAGACAGGACCTGCAGGAATCTTTTCCCATCTGTAACAGCACCTGAAGGCATTATCTCAAACAACACAAGATACCTATCTTTTGACAACACAATCATGCCCTTTATAGACCACAGATAATCTGCACTGCTAATAGTCTCAGAAACATGATGCACACAGCACTCTAGCTGTCAGCTAGCATTAGAAAAAATGGCTTTCATATACCTTGGCAGCATCTTGGAGATTTGGTAGCTGCCCTTTGATAACCTGCTGCAATTCCTCTGTCCGCCGTCCCAGTTCCAGCACCTGCTGTGACATGCCTTCAGTACAGTATACACTTGCCAGATACTCAATCCTCTCACTCATGGCCTCAAGGTCACCATGAATCTCTCCAGACTCATCAAGCATAGTCTAGATGGAGATATGAACAAACTGAATGTCAGAGTTGAACTTCAGATTAAATGCATCTTTAAATATATTCCCATTCTACAAACTTCTCAATTTGTACACATCTGTAAGCACATGCCTAAGCTCTACTGATTTCCTGTAAGGCTTGGGCAAGATGCTTAATTCTGAGTGTATTCTGAAGTGCTTCAGTTTATGGAGACCAGGAAACAAAAGAGTAAGTCATAAAGCTTCAGCAGCTGTACTTACCAAGCCCTTCATTTTAGTGTTTTGCATTCATTTTAGTATATTAACTTGACTGTAAATATGATATAGACAATCTGTGGATAGAGTTTGTTCTGGAAGTCTTATATACCAAATAGGAAGCAGCAGAATGCACTTGAGTGCAACTTTATAGCAGGGCAGTAATCGTTAACACTGACAAAAACACGGCTACTGAAGCGTTCTGTGGAATAACATTGTTTAAGGCTGTATCTTCATCAATTCTGAAGTAGAGAAAAAGCCATAGCAAAACCAAATCAGAAATACTAACTCCCAGCTATCCTCAGGATAAATTGCCTGGAGGTTCCTATCCAGAATAAAAAAATGTGACATTCTACTTTGCCCCCATATAGGTGAAGACAGCTGACAATTAACTAATGTATGTATACACCCCATAATTAACTAATGTATGTATAAACCCCATAATTAATGCTGTTTTATTTGGCATTAATGAGACATGATAATCTTATAGTGCTTTGATTTGTTCCACATGGTCATGTGATTGTGGGCAAGCTTCAACCCTAAACTGCTCTACTGGTCTCACACTTGCACATTTCACACACTATCACAGGGACAGCAAATGGTTGTGGTGCAAGATGTTCAGGAAGCAACTGAAAGAAACTGATCCACTGGGTATCAGTTTAAGAACATTTGGTGTGAAACTTATCAGATGAGATCAGAGGGTATCCCAATTCAGTGTAAAGAAGAATGAATTAAAAAAGAAAAAAAAAAGGCCAAACCTAAACTGGACATTTTGTTTGGTTAACTAAAATTTTAAAGGAATATCAATTGCACTGAGGTGCTCAGTGTGATACAATCATGAGGTATAGACACGCTACTCAATCAAAAGCTACTATGAAGCCAATATACTTGAGTAAAATGGAAATTAATTTTGAATCATGTAGTTTTACTCAACAATATATCTTAATTTCAGTCATCAAAGCAATTGTCCAAAAAAAACGAATCATCTTTGAGCCATGGGGGAAGTCAAAGAAACCTAGCATTTAAAGACTTTTTTTTCCTCAAGAAAAGAAGAAAAAAAAAAAAAAGGCCTAAAAGACCCTCATTGCTTAGAAATTAAATTCTACACACTGCCCTTTAGACTTTATAGCTCATATAATCACCTGGTAAGCTTTAAACTGATCACGAAGCTGAGAGGAAGAATTCCATGTTATACTACCATGTACTAGAATATTTGCTTTCTCAATCCATTTCAATATGAATTCCAGCATCTCATTGTATTCTTCCAAGTGTGAAGTAGCCTGGATATAAAAGAAAAACCCACATAAGCCTAAGATGTAATTCTGTAGTTATCGAAGAACGACAAAATGCATTTTATTTACTGTTTGTAACTTGGAGATTGTTTTAACAACTTTTCCTTACTGTTGAATAAAATTTAATTACTTCTGTATTTATGGAATTAGAATAGGTGTGCTTCCAAGTAACACGCATATCTATTTCAGGGAAAAAAAGTCACTATAAGAATGCAGGTCACACTGGGAGAATGCATTGATGCTCAATGCACAAATCCCTAGAGGGTACATTTCCTGCACATATTTCAGCCTCGCATGTAAGTTCCAAAACACTTTCTTGCCCTGAAGTTTGTGGCTTACTCCAAGCTTCCTTTATGTCATTCTTTATTTTCCTTTGTCTTTTTCAATGTAATTTCCCAAATCAGCTTTTTTTCTTTTTAAAAAACAAAACAAAACAAAAAACCCACAAAAACTCAAACAACAAAACCTGCTTTGTCCAGTTAGTCTGTCATATTTCCAAAGAGAGAAATGTTGCACCTTCTCCTGTATTTTGCACTTGCAAACTACAGGAAAATAGCTCTACTTTCCAATTATCCAATTTCTGTTTAGCAAAGTACTCTTTAGTTCCAATTCTTACTGAAAAGGAGTAATGTCACTGATTTTTATGCATTTTTCCTCTATGAACCGTGGATCAAACCCTAGATGACTGAACTGTGTTTGCATGCAGCTTGCCTTACTTATCATTTCGTATGATAAGAAGTGGATTTCTTCCTCCTGAACAAAAATATCCTTAAATCCCTTCACCAAGTACCTTTAACTGAACTCTTACTTTGATAATAATTTTCTATCTCTTTTTAAAAACAATTTTTCAGAAGAAATTAAAAAAAAATAATAATGAAACAGTTTTAGTTTTCAAGCCTTACAGAAGCTTGTTTATGCATGCAGAAAAGAGAACTCATTTATCAGGGTATTGATAGCAGAACCATAGAAAATGCATTTGCTTTTAGCTAGGATTTTTTTGATAACAACAACTAGCAAAAAAATACCTAAGAAAGAGTTTATAGAATTATAGAATGGGAAGGGTTGGAAAGGACCTTAAGATCATCCAGTTCCAACCCCCCTGCCATGGGCAGGGACACTACACACTAGACCATGTCACCCAAGACTCCATCCAGCCAGGCCTTGAACAGTGCCAGTGATGGAGCATTCACAACTTCCTTGTGCAACCATTCCAGTGCCTCACCGCCCTCACTGTAAAGAACTTCTTCCTTAGATCTAATCTAAACTTCCCCTGTTTCTCCTTGTCCTACTGCTACAGTTCCTGATGAAAAGTCCCTCCCCAGCATCCTTGTAGGCCTCCTTCAGATACTGGAAGGCTGCTATGAGGTTTCCATGCAGCCTCCTCTTCTCCAGGCTGAACAGCCCCATCTTAGTCTGTCTTCATATAGGAGGTGCTCCAGCCCCCTTATCATCCTCGTGGCCCTCCTCTGGACTTGCTTCAACAGCTGCATAGAATCATAGAATAGTTAGGGTCAGAAAAGACCTTAAGATACCTAGTTCCACCATCCTTCTTATGCTGATGACACCAGAACTGTACACAGTACTCCAAGTGGGGTCTCACAAGAGCAGAGTAGAGGGGTAGGATCACCTCCTTTGACCTAGTGGTCACACTCCTTTTGATGTAGCCCAGGATATGGTTGGCTTTCTGAGCTGTGAGCAAACACTGCTGGCTCATGTTCAGTTTCTCGTTGACCAAGACCTTCAAGTCCTTCCCCGCAGGGCTGCTCTGAATCTCTTCTCTGCCCAACTTGTAGCTGTACCAGGGATTGCCCTGACCCAGGTGTAGGACCTTGCACTTCTCTGTGTTGAACTTCATGGGGTTGGCATTGGCCCACCTCTCAAGTATGTCAAGGTCCCTCTGGATGGCATCCCTTCCCTCCAGCGTATCAACTGAACCACACAGCTTGGTGTCATGGGCAATCTTGCTGAGGGCGCACTCAATCCCACTGTCCATGTAGCTGACAAAGATGTTGAACAGGATCGGTCCCAACACCAGCCCCTGAGGGACAACACTCGTTACTGGTCTCCAGCTGGACATTGAGCCATTGACCATGACTCTTTGCATGTGGCCATCCAGCCAATTCTTTGTCCACTGAGTGGTCCATCCATCAAACTGGTGTCTCTCCAGTTTAGAGACAAGGATGTCGTGTGGGACAATGTCAAAATGCTTTGCACAAGTCCAGGTAGACGCTGTCAACCGCTTTGCCCCTATCCATCAGTTCTGTAGCCCCATCATAGAAAGTCAGACAGGATTTCCCTTTAGCGAAGCCATGTTGGCTGTCACCAACCACCTCACTGTTTTTCATGTGCCTTAGCATGCTTTCCAGGAGAATCTGCTCCATGATCCTGCCAGGCACAGAGGCGAGACTGACTGGTCTGTAGTTTTTCTGGGTCTTCCATTTTCCCCTTCTTGAAAATGGGGGTTATATTTCCCTTTTTCCAGTCATCAGGGACTTTAAACTGCAGGTGAAGCATCTTTATGAATGCATTATCAGGGCCATTGTATCTAGGCTTTTCTGTTGAATCTGTTGAATCTACAGACTATATCCACCCTCTATAGATCGTGACTAAATCAAGGGAAGTTCTCAGTTTTTGTTTTGGTTTGGCTTGTTTGTTTGTTGGGTTTTTGGGTTTTTTTGGGTTTTTGGGTTGTTTTTTTTTGTAATGCTGCAAATATAGGTAACAGTTATAAGACAGAGATCCTGAAAAGTACAATGAGGTACTATTTCCTGGCATGCTATTCTTTGTGAGAAGGCTAAACTTTTCAGGACATCAGATGAACCAGCCAGCAGATGATTCATCAGCAGATTATGTTAAAGCATCATAACAGAATTATTCCACCCTCCTGATCTGATCTGTCTGTACCTCTCTTTGAGATATGATGCAAGCTGTGACTAATAATAGGCAGATGTACCAAGGAATGTCTCTTCCTGCATAACTACAGGAAAATAAACGAGAAGTTTGCATGCTCCTTCTGTTTCTGAAAGGAAACAGAAGAAAGGATTTGAGATCATACCTGACTGAGCTTGGCTGCTCTGTACTCAGCCTGCCGTATAGTCTGTTGGTGCAATGCAGTGAGTTTTGCTATTCTGTTTGCCAGCTGCTTAGCCAGCGGTGTGTTCTGTTCTGCAAAGTCCTGGACTGATGCATCTAATTCCAACAGCTTTATATTGCAGCTGTCCAACTCTTCACCGAGGACCTAGACAGCAAAACAAGAAAATTACTGATCCAGGAAATGTTAGCTTTCTGCTTGATTACTTCTAGTCAAACTCAAAACTTTTATACCCTGTCTAAAGTTTCCATAGTTCCATTTTTATTCTGGCTGGAAACCAACAATGCTTGTCTAAGCAGGAAGGCAGAACAGCAGGATGTTTGGTCATCTCTTCAATGTGTGCCATTACTCTTACTTGTCTAACTTCCTGGCTGAAACGGATAATCATTTCCCCTACCACAGCAAAAGACTGAGTCACTTCGCAATGGCATTAATCATTTTTAGCCATCTCTTTGTGTTTGTTTTTGAAACGAGTAGTTTCAAAACTACTGTTTTTGAAACACATTTCCATGACAAGAATTTTTTATTGGTAAGGGTTTTAGTTTTGTTGCTGTCTTAAAATATATCCTTACAAACTCAGAACTATGTAGTTATTCATTAATGCATGATAAAAACCTACAAAAAGAACCAAGAGTCCTTTGCATTACCCTTAACTGCAGCACTCATACTTTACCTCATTGTCAAACGATATGTGATGGACTACGATCTTTCCAGTACAGACTAGAACAAGGAGCAGCCTGGGAGCCTCTCAGACTTTCCCAGATTACAGTAATAATCATTATTCAGAGGGAACAGCATAAATTTGCCTATTTGACTTGTTTTTACTCTCAGCTACTTCCTCCAAGTTCTGTTACTCACTTAAGTCCCTGTAAGGGCTAATTTGCAAATAATATAATTTTAAAAAATCTCATCAGTCAACCTTTATTTATATCTATTGTTCTGTTGAACCACATTTAAAAAATGTGTCATGCAAGTCTGCACATATGCAACTGTGCTATGAAGTAAGTGTCCCAATTCAGAAGAATTTATGGTACAACCAAATCAGGGAAGTGTTCTTACCTTTTGCTCAATTTTAGCTTGTGCTATATCATTTGTTTTCTTTTTCAGTTTGGAAAGAATGGCATTTAGTTCATTTGCTATCCCCTGAATTTTCTGACCAAACTCTTGATTCAATGTTTTGATCTGCTGAGTTTCTTTTTCTTTGGCTTCAATCTGTTAACAAGAATTAAATTCAGTAACCAGAAATCTCTCCTCCTGAAAGGAAATTAACTTTCATTTAACTTACTTCAATTTAAAGGAAGAAGACAATAAAACTGTTCTATGATGTTGCAGTTTGACCACACTTGGATCCTGTATTTCACTAAGTTACAAAGTTTGAAGAAAGGCTACAGATCCGCAATGTATTTAACTACCATGCTTTACCTGATCCTGTACATTTATGAGGGCCAGTCCAACTTCTGATAAATGAAGAGAGAGTTCAGAAGGCAAAATTGTATAGAGTCCCAAGTACTTATTCTGTTGTTGTTCAGCCATTTTTTCAACAGCCTGACGATGAGTAGTTACTTCACCAAGGAGCGACTAATGACAGAAAAACAATATTGTTAAGAACAATGGAAGAAACATCTCTGTGTAAACTTTGCAAAGGCAGACATTACATGCTGTTTGCAACAAGGCCAATTGCTTTCCATTTTTTAATCAGATCTCTAGTAAGAATTTTATCTTGGGATTCCCTGGATTCTCATTTATGACTGTCTGTCCAGTTCTCTGTTCCTGTGTGACCACAAGCATACTGAAAAGGTCAAGTTTTCAGCACCTCCACTGAAATTAGTTTATTTTATTTTGTTGCTTCCCTCCCTGTCCCGAACTGCCGAGATATAAATGTCACATTCTGTAGTTTTCTCCTATTTTTTCATAAGGAAAAATATTACTAGAAAATATACTAGTATGTAAAATTGAATAAATGCGAATACTTAAATATATCTTAAATATATTTAAAATAAAGTATTACAGCCCATCAGCTACTTCATGCTCTATGAAGTTGTCTAGTGGCTTAGTCAAAAACTAATGAATATTGTCTAATTTGAATTTATGGTGGTTTTGAACTGAATACCATTCACTAGCAGATTACAAGATAAATATTGCAATTTAGAAATCGACAAATTTGAAATACCTGCAACTCCTGAAGCTGAGTATCCACTTCTGCATCAGGGCTTAATAAATATTCATTTGTTTCCTGGATCCAGGACTTCACAATATTAATCTCTGCTTCAACCTCCTCACGCTCCTTCAACTCCTGTTTCACCATCTTCACACCTTTTTTCACTTTCTGTTGCATACTTCAGAAACAAACAAAAACTATTCGTGAAGAATTAGAAATATCAAAGAACATTGCCTTGTCAAAACATATTGAATAATAGAGATAATAATTATTAGCCAAAGTAATAAAAAGTGTTGCAACAGACTACTAAAGCAGCACACTTAAATTTCTCATGTTCATTCTTCAGTTCATTCCTTTTAATTAGGAGCTTTGTATATTTTGACGTCAAGCACAAAATTCTTTTGAAGACATACAAATTTTTACAACCTACACCTAAGTTCACCACCACAGGCCACCCTTATTTTCAGTAGAGGAAGCAGGCAATTCTAGGCCATGATTTAGGATGATTCATCATCATTGTAAAAGAAACTTCTGAAATAGGTCAGAAAATCTGCATCTTATACCTGTCTATTTCTCCACTAATTAGAGAGTGAGAATTAATCAGTTCAGATGTGGATATCTATAATCTAAAACATCATGAGATAAATTCCACCCCTATTGATGAGATTTGCACTGGCAAAATACCTGGGATAAGGCATGGATCAAACATCTGAACAACACTTTTGATTCAGGGACCTATCTCCACACTTTCACTAAAACAGAATTTCCATACTTTCGTCAAGAACTTGGATAGCCAGTAAAAACCAGAGTCTTTTTTCATGACAGCTCTGTCATGATCTACAGGACAACTTGTAGCTTTTAAGTACATGACATGAATCTTACTGTGATGTTCCCATATTTGATTTTCATTTGTATAACCTTCCACAGCCAAATCATGACTTATTTACATGAGCATGAGATCATCACAGACTTTATTTTTTAGAATCCAATTCTAAGGGAAGTCCAAAATCACAGAAGTGCTAATATCTACACATTTTCTAAAGGGTAATCGGTTATGCATGCACAATGAACTTTGTACAGGCTAGGTGCAGGCTTTACATTATTTTCATTCTCTGTCTCTTTTCCTCTTCCCACCAAGGAGATCCAGTTAATGGCACCTTAGTGCACTTACGAGGTGGATATGAGTCCTGAAATTTAGCCATAAAATTTCCTGGTTTTACATGGCAGAGAAACATTTTAGATTTAGATAAACACTTACATAACCACAAAGAGATGTTGAGATGTGTTTCATTTGCATATGCACCAAGTTCCACTGTAAATTTCACATGGTACCTACTTTTGGTGCCTAAGTGCTTCCAACAGGACAAAAAAAGTGGTAAACTAATCTAAACTTAGGATACAAAAACATAAAAGGTCACTGCTAATGGCGAGATGCAATGGAAGTGTTTAAAATCACTTAGAACTTTAATGTAGTTTATACACTTTTATATCAGTTACTATTATTATATGAGGGAAGAAATATGTATTCTAAAATGCATACTCCTCCCAATGAAAATTAAAAATAACGGTAAAAACATATTTCAAAATTAATTAATGATAATTTAAATTAAACTGGTACTTAATTATAATAACTAATTTTTTTTTAAGCGTGGTCATTGTTAATGATAAAAATGATAGGTGAACTCTTATTAATGAATCGTAAGGTACCATTTTTCTAGTGAATCTTTTAAAATATTGCCTTACTTGTGACAGCGGTCTTGCATTGCTTTGATTTCTTGCATGACTGGTAGTTCCTCTTGAGATGGAGGCTTTATTTCCACATCCTGAAGCATGCTGACAGCGTGCTGTTTGAGCAGGCCCAAAGAAGACATCTGGCGCTCCACCTCCAGAAGGAAACTACTGTGGTAGTCCAAGAGTTCCAGGAGCTCTATCTTGGATGCCTTTTCTACTGAGCTTTCTGGTAAGCGACCTTGTAGCTCATCTATTCCTATTGTGGCTTTCTGAATCTATGGAAAGGAACGTAGTCTTGGCAATAATGAAAATAAAAAGAAGCTACTACAACTGATACCAAGAGGTGCTAAACCCAGTGCACTACATTTAGATGCTGTAAACCAGTTGTGGTATAGGGCTTGCACAACAGTCTCTATTGCAGGTATAAATCTATAATGGGCTAGGTCTAGCTAGCTAGCCCTAGGTCCTCACAGTGGACTAGGACTTGATAAGGGACATTTTTGCCAAGTGACGAGTGGTTCCTTGTATTTTTTAGCATTTATTATCTTTACTGCTGTAGGACCTAGAGCTCTACCCCAGGGTACTCCGGTATTTGGCATATGTGATACATTTAACAAAACAATTATCCTCATTCCAGAGAACCTGAAATCTGAGCATAAAATAATGTACAACTGAAGATAAAAAGAGACAGGTATGATATAAAGAAAAGAGACACATGATCAGTGAGCAGTGACAGGCAATGATGACATTGCATAAATTTAGAAATAGCAACTTCATATTCTTCAGGGGGAAAAAAAAAGAAAAGAGGTTGAATTAATCTAGAATAGATCATCTACAGAAAGGAAACACAGACGATAAGATTCTGAAGAACCACCAGAAACCAAAAGAACTCTGTATTTACTGTATGTGTATGCATATTGAATAAAAGTGAAAACCTTGGAGGCAGTGCTTCTAAACCTAGGTCTTCCATAGTTTTTTTTAGTATGACTTGAGTTTCTGCTATCAGCTTTCACTACCAGATGATTAATAAGGCAGTATAATGAGTGAAAACCTTACTACAGTTAACAAAGGAGGATTTACCAAGACCAGAAGTTACCTTATCATTAAAGCCCTTCCATTCCTGCACTGCGTCTTCCAAAATTTTCTCTTGTTCCTGGGCTACATTCTGGAGCCGTGTCCAGCGCTGCCAAACTGTTGTCATGGATCTACTTATAGTTGCCTTACTGGCATCATTGCTAACTTTTTCCAGCTGCGAAGCCTTTTCTTCTAGGGCTGTGATCTTCTCATGGAAAGAATTCACTACAGACACAAGAGTCTGAAAAAGCAAAAATAAACAGTTTTCCACTTTTACAACACAACTCATAACTAGTCAACACATTTGCAGGCAGATGAGCTACTTCCATTCACTGAAGACAAAGAGGATGTACTCTATGTCCAAAATGTTGATCCAAAATGTAAGTCTCTGGAAGCAGCAGAAATCTGGTGTAATCAGAATTTTTCTTTCTTCCTTTGCTAGCCTCTCAAAAGGGATGGATAGTATTCAGGACCTTTCTCATAGCAAAGGAAGACTTTACTATTAGAGTCTAAAAAATGAAAGAAGCAATTCAGGGGTTTAAGCATACATTTATGTCATGTTTATATTTAATGACATTTTAGATGTCCAAGTGTATCAGGATATTCTTATGAAGCTGGCAAACATGACTTTACTCTTAGGGAAGATTCCAGCATTCACAAAGACACAGCTGGAGACCAGGCAGGATGTCTGCAGTATCATTAACTGCCTATATTAAGGCAACTGATTAACACCCTAAATACTAGAGGAGAAAGTAATTCCTTTAAGTTACATTTTTTAATTTTAGACTAAACAAGAATATTAAAACTGAACCCTTCCTGTCCTAGTAAAACTATTACTTGTGATCCAAAGTACATGGACATTTCTATTGATCTGAATTTCTGTAGGGTACACAATTTTGGGGCTTATGTACTCAAGGCTTTTAGGAACCTTCTGAATCCTTCCAGTTCTCTACAATCGTAGGCACATAGACAGATATTAAGCAGAAAAGTGATTAAAAATATCTGTCTCAGTCACCCCACAAAGAAAATGTGTGTTTCGCATAACACAAACCACCTGTTGGTGCGCTATGACAGTTAAGTGCTACAGGGAAAGATTTAAAAACTCAAATTCAGGTTGCCACAGGTAGAGACTCACATAACATACATATATTTTCATGGAAGGAAAAGGATTTCATATACTTTTCAGTACCTTACCTTATGTGTCAGCAATTTCTCTTCTGCTTCATGAGAAGAAGCGGCTTTAGCTACTGAGAATTCAGATAATTTTTTCTCAGCCTCATTCATCACTTCAATAACTTTCTGTCTTGCTGTCTGGTACTCCTGCCACTCAGAAGTACACCTTAAACAAATATAGTTTGAGAAAGAACAATTTAATGCAACATAAAACTATTTGAAAAATCGGCACTATGATTGCACCTAGTTTTCAATGTAACTGCTTAGTTTTGCTGTTACACAGTACTATCTAAGAAAAAAGAAAGATTGTTGAGAAAGCATACGTAGAAGCATATGCTCCTCATTTTCAGCTGTGCCTTACAGACACAGCTGCGCATTTAACAGCCCTTGTTTGACCCTTCCTCAGGGACTTTGCTTGGGATGCATTTAAACCCACCCAAATTTTTGGAATCCAGAATATTCAGGAATAATAAGTAACACAGTTATGCTGGTTTAAAAGGTATTTCCATTTATTTCAAAATGTCTACTTCAATTTTATTTGTTTCTGGGCAGGTCTTGTGCCAGGTGAAATAAGGGACAGTTATGCCCTACTATTTTTCTCAGTACTGTTCCAAGATTTATATAATTTTATCATAGCATCCTCAGATTCACACATCTAATCATCCAGTGGCAGAGGAGAAAACAGAATCCAAGAGCTCTGAATCCCAATATCCGATTCTCTCATCAGCAGCATAATCATTTTACATAAATTAATGTTGTGATATTTTTGTTCATCACCAGCAAGGTGATAAAATGAAAGAAAAATTAAAAAGATTAATATACCTTTGCAACTGCTCTTGCTGGGTTTTGGCTTCTTGTTTTGTCCCTTTGGCCTTTTCCTCCAATGCAGCTACATTCTGCATTAGCTGCTCTCTTGTTGTGGCTTGGGTAAAGGGCTTTATCTCAGACACAAGGTTCTGTAACTCCTTCAAATGATTACTGAACTGACTTTCTGTGCTGAAAAATTCAATGTGGCTCTTTAGGTTCTCCTCAGAGTTCTCAACATCAAGACCATTTCTTGCTAAATGTAGAAATTCCTGAGCATCTTCAAGCCAGTCATTTGCTGTCTGCATCACTTGGTAGTATCTTTCGCAAAGGCTATATAATTTATTCAAGGTAGTCTGAAATAAAAGGGGAAATTATACAGAGGGTCACAAATATAAAACAGCAGCAATAAAAATATCCTCTGCTGAGAGTCTGGATTTTGCACGTGCTTGCTTTCTTGTCCCTTCACTATATCTAAAATACAGTTCCAGAGAGACTACAAGGAAGTAGGTTTTGAGTTCGCACTTCTACATGCAGATATAAATGCATATTAAGGAAGCCTTCCGAACTGGACCACTCCACTCCCACCTCAAGGCATTCATGTCCACAGGCCACAACCTAAGTCATTAAAAAAACCCAGACAACAGGATTACTAAAATAAATGTTTTCATTATGATTACAAACATCAAGCCACAGAGCCATCTTTATCAGCTTCATGAGCGAGAAACTAATGATAACAAGGGTGCACTAACCTGTCTTGTGCGTATAGCTTCTTGAACTTCACTGTCTAGTTCTGTCAGCTCAGCAAGAGTGTCTTCTAGGTCAGCAGGTATCAGCTCCTTTGCTATCATATATCTCTCTTTCTCTTTATTGCTTAGTGCATTCATTATTCTCAAGCTTGACTGCACTTCTTCCTGATGTATCTGAACCTTTCTGATTTCTTCTTGGATGCTTTGCAGTTTGAGGTCCAAACTTAATGTTCCATTAAGTTCTGTTTTCACCCATCTCAACCAGTCAAGTGAGCGACAGATTTCTGTCTGGAAGTCTATGCTTTGCACAAGTCTATTCTCACACTCCATCACAGTGTCACCAATGGCAGCATGCAAAGACTTGAGTTTCTCTTGCCAAGACTGCACTTGTTGATTTGTTGTCTCACAGGCAGATGAGTCAAAATGAGGAGAAAGAGCTTCTAGGTGTTCAGTTATTCGTTTCAGAAGACTCCCAGAGTCTTGCAAGCTGCCCACCAGAGAATGGTATATTTTCAACTTTTCTTCTATTGGGAGCGTTTCTTCATTTACCTTAATCTGTTCCTTCTCCACTGCCTCTAGTTGTGCCTCAAATTGTGTACACATTTTCTCATGCTCCTGGCACGCTTCTATTGTGTCTTCCAACATGTTGATTTTCTGTTCTATTTGCCTCTTCAACTTGTGATACAGTGTAACAAGTTTTAACATCTCATCTGATTGCCATGGCTGGCCAGTGCTTCGAAATGCTTCCTTCTTCTGGTTTAGTTCATCCACTGCTGCACCAAGGCTCACCACTTCACCTAAAACACCTCTGTAGGCCTGCTGGAGTGACATAGCTTCTTTGACTAAAACAGCAGCTGGAGCTTTGTCCATGTTAATAAACTGATCTTCTAGTTCAGTCAGAGCTTTACTTGTCAACTCAATCAAAGAGGCATATTCTTTTCTGGCATAAATTGCTTCCTGAACTTTATATAATTTTTCTTTTGCCAGAGCAGTGACAGTATTGAATTGCTGAGGGAGAATATTAAGTTTCTCATCTAGGTAAGAATGATCCACTTCATTAAGTGACGGTAGAATTTCTTGGCCATCTCTTTGCAGTGCAAGTAACAGATTTTCATATTCTGGAGATTGCTCAAGAATCTGTTGATATTTTGCCAACTGGCTACATAGTTCAGAGTTAGAATTCATTACATTGACTTCTGGGAATGTGACAATATCAGCTTGTTTTAGCCAGTGGCAAGCTTTATCCAAGTCTTCTTTGAAATACTTCCTGGAAACCGTATTTTTCTCCAATTCTAACAATCTCTGGTTACACTTCTGTAAAACAGTGTCATACACATTCTGTAGTTCTTGCAGTTTACCTAACACTTCACTCTTTTCTTGTTTTGTTGCTTCTTTCATTAAATCCCTTCCTTGAGCCCACAACACTGTGACTTCATTTTGATAGGCCTTCAGGTTAGCCTGGACATTCTTACAAGTCCTGATCTGTTTGTTCACATCTTCTGGCAACAGACAAATGTGTTCCAGAAATGTTACCTTCTTCTCATGCTGGTGAATTTGGTTTGTAGCCTGAAAGACTGCCATGAGAAACTGGGTCTTTTCAGACAGTGCTTTATTCAGGTGCTTTCTCCTCTGGCCAACCAGATCACTGAGACAAGCTACGTGGTGCTGTGCATCGGAAAGTGATTTCTGCAGCTCCTGCCTTTCATTGAGCCCTAGATTGGTCATCACCCTGTCAGCATCCTTCACAATTGTCTTCAGAACAAGTTGTTTGGCTTCAAGCTCACTGCAAATTGTAAGATGATCCATGAGAAGACTCTGAGCCAAATCTGGGGGTGGGCTCTGCTTAAGAGCCTCTGAGATACTAGGTTGTTGCTCCTCTGCCCATTCCATTAGTTCCTGAAATTTGGAATGCACCAAACTGAGCTCTTCTAAGGTTGAAACAGAAACTTGAATTTTCCTTTTGACAAGGTCCTCTAGCTGAGTCCAGCGTTGCTCAAAATGACCAAATTGCTCCTTTACTAATTCTTTGTCATCAAGATTCAGATGTTCTATCATCTTCTGTTTCTGATCTTTCAAATCTTCTAGAGCAAATCTTCTTTCCTGTAGTGCCAGTGCTAGTTTTTGCAAAGCTTCAAGGTGCGCATTTGTACTTTCAGCATCAGATCTGTTATCAAAATGGACAGGACAGAAATGAATTATTAGGTCCTATCTCAGGACACAACTTTTAAAAGCAGTCAGGATGAATTATAAGCCCAATATAAACTAAAATCAATATGATATAAATACCTTCAGTTTTCAGATTTCTTTGAAGGTATAAATCCTGAATATTAATTAAATAGTTTTAATATTTTCATTTCTCTCCCTTTCATCTGCAATATGGTCAACAGGCTGACCATACAAGTTGACATGAATACTACAGAGCATTCTGGTTATATTGTACATATGAACAACAGCAAGTACTGAGATTAAAGTGAATCTTGTTCCATGACAATGATAGCAGCAGTAGCAGACTCACAATTTTACACACAGCTGGTGTGTTTATGCTATACAAAGCAGCTGCAACTAATTAGCAGCAGCAACTAAGCTTTAATATTACAGCTTAATAGATAAAACACGATTATCACAATGAAAAACACACATGAAATGCAGTAAAAAAAAATGAAAGAGTTCAAACAAAACAGTCAAAATTCTTGAAAGATCAGAAAATGCTATACTCTGAGATGGGATCAATCAGTACTTGCCTTGAAGACAAACACTGAAGATCTGGCTTCTCAAACTCTCTTTATTTCAGTACAAGTAATCATCCTATAATTAATATGGCAGGCTTGCTTTTAAGTAAGCATGGAAAAAAGGATTTCAGCATCCATGCACTAAGTCAGCTTTGTGAGTGCTATTCTTTTTTTACCTAGCCAGGTTGTCCCACTCTTTTGTGAGCTTTTCCAAGAAAACTTCAACTACATTCATGCGATCATGGTAATCCCCTGTCCTCTGCAGATCCTCCTCCCTCTGTACGAGCAAACTATGTGCCTGAAGGCAGAGGTCCAGCCACTGGTTGCTCAGTTCTCCTATTTCCTTGTGTTCAGGTGATTCTTGTCCTTGGGTTAGTTTGTTCATCTTCTCAGTCACAGAACTAAGAGCTGACTGCTTTGACTGCAACTTCTGACTGAATTCCTTAAAAAGATACAAATTAAAAACAATATGGTGACAGATACTCAAAACTATAAGATAGAATTTAAATAAAAAGTTGGAAGTAAATTGTGCAAGGACTAATTATCTGCCCAGCCAATTGCTGTGCAGATATAAATTGGAAGATGTGCCTTCTCACCTCCTCTAACCTTCCTCCCCATCTTCTCAGGTGAGGACAGGCTGGTTACAGACAAGAAAGCAAACCAGAGCAGTTGCCAAGTGCCAGTGATAAGCAGAAATCATGATCAAGTCACACCTTGCTGTCCAGGCTTCTGGACTAGCACTGTACGCTAAAACATGCAAGATAGTCTGGGTCTCATAAAGAATTCATTTTACCAGCACTGTTTCCAGTTCATTTTCTTCCTTTTCCATTTGAGTCCATTACGAAGCAGAGTCCATGAGTCACAGAGCCCCCACATCCATACTTTTTATTGTTCCTACTTCTATAATAGCGACCATTATCACTGTTATTATTGAAACAAAGCCAGTGATAATGTAGGTATGATTGCTACTTGAGTTAATAAATTCCAGTACAAGTCTATCTGCATACACATTTTTAACAGAATAAGAAGTCACAGACAACCGTAGAAAAAGAAAATACAATATACTGACAACTAAAACTAATGAAATATTTTTCAATACTATCTAGGGTAAATTTTTTTTTTTCCCCAAATTCTAGTTCCAATAACTGTAACTAAACAACCATGCACAGCTCCAGAACTTTGCTGGGATGATGCATTTTACACTGAGGGCTGGTAGGGGTGAGGAGGAGATGCTACTGCCCAGCTCTGCCTCATTCGTCTTTGTGATTGCTTCAAATGGAGATAGGCAGCTTCCTTTCCCAGGACAAATTCAAGCAAAAAATAAACTCTGTGCCACATCTGACAGTACAGCAGGTGCCGGCCTTTCATAATAATCCACAGTTCCTGACTGAAATAGCAAAGAGATAGAGACTTCTGCTTCTTCCTGGACTCTAATGATAGCTAGTGTAACAGCTTTCAGTCCACATTGTCCTGAGGTGTCTTCAAGAGCTATGACTCTGTTCATACACTTGTGCAGAACAGACATGAAAAGGAAGTGCTGTTTATTCTTCATGTAACTCCTTGCATATCAGAAAAAGAATACAAGCAAACCCCAAGTATTTCATTATTTAATAAATAATTTGTTTTCCTGTTTCTTCTTGTTACTTTACCGATGTTTGTGATACATGCAGAATGGCCATAAAAAATTCTCTCTTCTGTAATGAGTAAGTGAAGATCTGAAGGCAACTGTCTCATTATTTAGGGTAAATTAAATTGGGTTTCTGTCATACCTATTCTCCAGTAGTTTTCAGAGTCCAGAAATACTGAATAGTTTCTTCAATTAATTTTGAAATAAATCTAAATAATTTAGAAGTATTGACACCAAAGAATTAAGCAAGAATGAGCTGCAGAACTTATCTTTAGGTCCACTGTGATCAGCAATTAGCTTATTAAAAGTGAAGGCAAATCAGACCAGTAAGCTGAAAATTGTATACAGCTAAAAAAGAGACAAAGCCAGAAAAATATTAGTGTTTTGCTTTCACTCTTTCCTCTGACTTCTCTGCTCTTGCTTAGAACATATTAGCAATTGTATGTTAGTATGTGCATATAATACGAATTTTATCAGCTGCAGGATGAATTTCTTCCTTATGTTCTGTTCCTAACCCAAAACATCCTTACCTTAACCTGGAGTACCATATTCTGGGCAATGTTTAGCTCCAGCTCTGCCCGTCTCCTTTTCAAATTCTGTAGTTGTTGATCTGCATCCTGGAAATATATCCAGAACTCAGCCTTCATTTGTTTGATCTCCTCCCAGCCTTGAGCCAAATACTGTGAATGCATTATCTGTTGCTCAATCTAGAAGAAAAGAAATGGAGTAGGAATGATTTAAGGCATTTATTTTTGGAGAATGAAGCATGAATACCATTCCTCCTCTGAGCACAATGCTGTACTAAAGCAAATTTCTGCTCTAAATTCTTAAGGGGCCAATATTACCCACAACTTCAAAAGTCATAAAAATCAGACCTATCAAAGGCAAGTTGTGGGGAAAAAAAAGAATAAAAAAAAATCTCATTTACCCTAAATATATTTCAAAGTGCCTTTAGCCTTCTGTTAAACCTTGAATTAGTTACACAATTTAGTCTATTGCATGCCAAGAATATTGCTGGACTGCAAACTACATGCCTTTGCAATGACCAAACAAAAGCTTAAACTAAACACTTCCATGTAATTTTCTTAGCCCAGTTATTCTTCCTATACGCCTTTTGTAAAATGCCAATAAGAAGAATGCTTACCAGATCTGAGCCCATCAATCACCTTAAACCAATAGTCACACAGCTTCTTTTGCTCCAAATACAGCAGTAGGGCACCTTTAAGGTTTAGACACTGAACAGGCTTAATATACCTCAGCACTGTACTGTCTGTGATTTCATAAAAATGTTTCACTGCTTTATATATAAAAGGAGAATCTTATTCTGATGTTTTGGATGATTTTTCATTATTCAGTATTTGGACAGCCATTTTTTTATGGATTACTTGAATTTGTATAATTTGCTTCTCTGGTATGGAATACTGTTACTATATCTTAGATTTTTAGTCTTGGTAGAAGTAGTTTCAAAAGTTTGGTTGTGTGTGTATATGAAACTAACATTTTCATGTTTACAACAACAGCAACGTTCACAATGTTTCTTTTCTAATAACTTATGTTTATAATTTTATTCTAAAATGAAGCACTAAGCTCCTTTAAAACTTAACATTTAGGTATACTTCATAAATTCATATGCTGAAATAGATGCACTCTGATTTATGAATTGAACCATGAGATTTTTTTATTATGGTTACAATTAATATACTAGTATATCCTAATATGAACATCAGTCTAGTGTTGAATAAATAATAACAGTAATGTATGTCTGAGCTTTAAAAAAATACAGAGAAGAATAGACTGAACTGTGTTTTATGAAAACAAATAATTCAGATCAGGTTTTCTTCCACAGAAAGATATTTGTGTGGCTTTAGACCAACATCTTGTAATACTGCCTAAGTACCTTTAGCAACTTTTGTTGTGTGTCTTTGTATTACTACCTGGATGGCACTGTGTGGATTCAATTAAAAAAAAAAACATTAGAAAAAAATATTAAAACTATAAAACCAGAAAAAGAAAGAAAATAATTTTGAAAAGAAATACTTAAGATGGTAGTAAAATGACGTTTCTTCAAACTATTACCCAATACAACCTTTTTAAAAGAGGATAGATCAAGGCAGTTAAAGCTCTAAACAGGATTAAAAGCAGGTTGTTGTGGTTATCTTGTACCGTTTGTTTTGTTTGTTGAATATCTGTTGCTGTACTCTTCACTGTGGCATCTGACAGATCACACATGGAGCACAGAAGATCCAAGTATGTATTGGCTTGCTCCTGCAGAGCCCGGAAATGTTTTACCTGAGGGAAGACAATCCTCAAATAAACTCTGAGACTGTGGAAATACTACTTTATTACAATCGTGCATTTTAGTGGTTTTACTTTAGCTTATTATTTCCAAAAGATGAAATATAGACATACATTATTAGGTAAGGCTGCTCTGTCAGAATTACAGACAAGAGTAAGTCTTAAAAACTTGATTATCATCCCACACTGCCTGTAGAAGCTCAAGTCTCCTTATGAAGTTTCCTCATGACAAAAGAAAATGATTACATTGGTGTTGACAAGCAAGGCAATAACATACCTCCTAAAGCCCCAGGAAGGAGGTGTGAGTGACGACCTAATGCAGAGTCAGTGGTAGGTCCTTGTGGGCTACACAGCCCTCTAAGAAGGTCAGAGGGTATCTAATTTCTATTAATATAAAGCTCTTACCTGAAGTCACCTTATTAAGGATAACTGAGCATTTTCAAGTGCTGAACTTTTACCTGTTTAACTGCATCTGCCAAGCTGAAGGGTGGCCAGGTAGTTGGCTTTAACTCTGACTGCACTGTAGACAGCCACGTCTGGCACTGTTGTAGGGTGTCCTGATGATTAACATGTTTCTGGAGTTCATTTTCCAAACTCTGGTACACCTAAAATAAACATTTTGTAACATCATTGCATTTTCACACACTGTTATTGGCTCTCTTCTCCAACCTTGAAAACTGCAGCTAAACCAGAATTATTAAGACTGTGGTTATTTTAGCCCTTGTACATAAAACTATCAAGGGGTGAAAGTTCCTTAAGCTCTCACTGCATCTTGCTAATTTGTGGAGGAAATGGACAATAAAGCATGGCTTCTGGAAAGTAAAAATTTGCAAATATAGAGCACTGTCTCTTATTTCTGTATTCTTTTTCATCATTTTGCCATTATCTAGGTATAAGGTTTTACCTACCTCTACAAATCTTGCTCACCATGACTATGCTTTTGGGAGATTTGTATTTTGTTCTGCTTTGGGGTTTTTTGTCATTGTTTTTGTTTGGTTTTGGTTTGATTTTTTTGGGTTTTTTTTTGTTTTGGTTTCTTTTTTGACTATGCTGGCTTGATCTCCTAATTGGATTAACAGAAGGACCCAGCTAGCCCTTCTTAACTGCATATTCTAGTATTACTCAAACAGAATTTCCTAGCACATACTTAAGACCCATTATGTACCTATGCAAACTGCTGACACCAAGAGTGCAATTTGCTTCCTAGTTTTTGAAGCACAATAGTTCTGATGTCTTTGCTGCAGCTTCTCTGAAACTAGTATAACATGCATGTAATGAGGGTGTGGAGAGATTGAGATAAGAACTGACAGGGAGCTAGTTTTGCTGGTTGCAAGGCAACCATTCAGTTCACAAGGAATTTAGCTGTAGCACAGTAATGATGTTAGTAATCTGTAGGCTCAATTTAAATGAAAATAGTAGAAAGTTTTACACCATTTAAAGGAACAAGTACTTACAAAAATACTAATGTGTATTGTTCTTAAATGACATAAAAACATTTTTGAAACACGACTTACTCTTTGGGCTGTGCTACATATCGCAGAATAGCTGTCTTTTGTCCCCTGAAGGTGGCTTTGTATGTTTTGCTTAAATTTTGCTTGAAGATGTTCTGTGCATTGACTGATCAAGTAATCACCTTTACTCTTAAGGTTATTCAAACGATCTTCAAATCCTGCAATTTCTTCCATGATAGCCTAAGAAATAGATGAAACACTTCTGAAGAAATATTTTAAACTTAAAACATGTTCTGCACCACAGCTTTTTAAATAAGCTTTTTTGGTTGGGATTTTTTTTTTTTCTTCTTAAACATGACTTGTTTTCAGACAACCTGTATTGCTAAACTATTAGTGTGTATACTCTTTGTAAAATCATTGCCAAAAGTCTGTACGTAAATAGAATGTAGAGACAGAAACATCAGTAGCATTTCATAATGTGTAAACATTATAGGCTCATGCCCCGAGACTACCCTTAATCTTCCTTTGTTGCATGGTCTCCAGGGCTCCACCAACTTCTCTGGTGTCTAGTAAGGAGGACTAAATCTGATGCTGGATCATATCTTATTCCACAAGCTCCTCCACTGTAGACAGTTCTTTCCATTGACTTTGGCACAACCACATTTTTATTTAAGGAGGTTACTTGAAGAATATCACTAATCACAATGAGTTAGAAGATTTCAACAATCTCAGTTTCAGGGAGTGGTAGGGAGGGTTGGACTTTGCTTTCTTTTATCTTCTAGAAAGCATCAGCTATCAATGTAGTGAATTATTATAATTAATAGCAACCATAATAATACCTTTAATAAAAGCAATTGAGGAAATGTTACAACCTAATGGGGGTCAGAGGGAATTTTAAAAATGTAAAATATTTTTTTACCTTTAAAAGTGCCAGAGCAAAAATGCCTTAGAAGTAAAATGAACCAAATACATTTTTTGTGGTCTATTTCCTGGGACATCTCAGCAAAAATCTAACACAGAATTCAGGCCACTGTGCAGGAAAACTCTTGTGCAGATGCAGCCTCATCCAAGAAAGTGCTAACAACAAACTAGACTTGTTAACTGCATTAATGACACTGATGCTTCCTTACACAGTTAGCAGTAAGAGGAATAAAACAGGTGACTGACAAATAACTTAAGATCTAGAGTGTAGACAGAGAAGCAAAGAAGAAAAAATTTATTACACCAGACAAAGTTTACCCAACAACAAACCCACCTTGTGATTAGCTAGCTGCTGAGTAATTATTTCAAGACTGTTACTCTCCATGAGGTCAGGGCTGACCAGCCTGCTGGACATATGTAATAACCATTTCTCCCCTTCTTGCAAATCACTGTTGTAATCCTCATGTTCTTTTACTCTCACCTCTAAAGTTTCAACGTATGCCTGAAGGTCCACAACAAAAAAAATTAAATATTAATGTAATTACAATAATAAAAAATAAAATTTAATAAAAACACCACCACAAATCAAAAAGTACCAAGAGCTTAAAAACATGTAAGAGTTATCTTCTACATTTGTATTCCTGTGAGGGACTTTCACAGGATTAGACTGTTAAGGAAGACATAAAAGGGATTATTCTGTAGTAGTGAGCAGTGTTGGTGAAATACATACTTTGAAGACTGAGGAAAACACTGAGGATCTCCTTAGCTTTAAAAAAAGAACACTGTCTTGACAATAAGTTCACTTAGAAACATTTATTACATGATCTTTGAGACACTTCACATGACCTGCCAAATGCTATGGTTGGGTCCCTTCTGCTCACAGCATGTACATATTGCCTGTGACTGTGGTAGGTAAATTAAGAATGTACATATCTTTTTAAGAGAGATTTTTCATAAGATCCTCTACGTTTAAGTCATCAACATTACATCTAATGCAACAGTTTTCAATTTTGTGATGCAGAACAGAGGAATGTTTGTAAATTAAAAAAGACTGAAAAAAATAAAATCATCTGCTATTGGTGGACAGACCGGCAATTAAAAGTACTTAGGTCAAACATAAGTACTAACATGGTTTTCAGAGCTTATACTTGTTAGGAGTATAACCTATTAAAAGCTTTAGGAATAATCATGCTTTAGGACGTATTTAGAAGTATTAGATCTTTCAGAGTACTATACACGTGGACTATTTAATCAATGTTAATTAATAATGCCTTTGGCTGAATTAATTTTCTTCAGTGACTTCCATTCAACAACTAAACTAGACTAAACACAGTTTGTGTGAGACCTAGCAGAAACAAGACAAAATGGTAGAAGTTAAGGGCATCTGCCTCTTCAAGAAAAATGTATTAAGAAATCTATTTAAAGCAATTAAAAATAGTAACAGAAGAATTTTCTTCCTGACTTCTTACCTTTGTTGTGCTGCAGAGTTCCTGGTAACTGCTCTGAAGGTCTTGAATGTTGTTCTTTAGAGTCACATCATTCACCAGATCAAAAAGTGCTTCTCCCTTTTCAATCACTGATTTTATTGAAGGTTCATGGGACAGAACAGTCTGTTGTATAGACTACAATGCAAGCGAAAACTATAATACATCTACTGAAAACTGAAGATCCATTTCACTAACTTCTCTTTGATCTGAAGCACAGCCTTCTATCATTATATATATTCTCCCTTACTTAGATGAGAAGAATTTTGCTACCAGTACAGGACATTTTCTCAACTGTGCCTTCAGAAAGCAACTTTGCAGGCATTTAAAAGCAATTGCTCTTTTTGTGAGTGGCTATTAGAACAGCTGATAATTTGGAGCTGGTGAAGAAAAGGGAGTTAATATGTGTGAATGGGTGAGTGCTAGGAATAAAACTTGTGCAGAGAGACAAAATCTGCCAATAGGTGGGAAAGCATCAACAAAGCCATGCTCTTAATGAGACAGTGTGCAGATGACTGTGCAATCTGATCTGTTATGTCACTGTGCCACTGTCTCAGAGAGCATGGCACATGCCAGCATCTACCAAATGACAGTGAGATACCAGCTCCCCAAACATGCAGGAAGCAAGTACACAGCTATGACATACGATTCTGAGTACTGAAACCAGCAAGAGGCAGTTAGCAGTTGATGCTGTGCAGGTACTGCTCAGCAACAGCCAAAATATTGGTTAGCAGTACTGTTTTAGCCAGAAAGTTACAGTGCTAAATGGGCTGCTATGAGGAGTTAGCTCCATCCCGCCCAGACTCAGTACACATCTTATGGAACACCTGTAAACCTGGAGTATTTCGTGAAAACATCATTAAGAGAAGAAATGGGGTTTGGTGTCAATCTTTTTTTTACTCATTTTTATGACTAGAAAAAAAACAAACCCAAAACCAAACACCACAAAACTTCATTAAAATCCTAACTAAACCCAGAGGAGGCCATAGCAGCTGACTGTATTAGATGTCAGCTGAGCTAGGACATCCAGCTTTAACCAGAAAGCTGATTAAGCCAACATAAATACAGACAATGTCTGCAGTGAAGAAAGATCAACTGACTTCTATCCTTGGTTAAACCACAGTCAGCCCTGTTGATATCAATGGAATTACTCATATGTGTACTCAGAAGAATTTTGCTCCGTTACAGCAAATTTTCAGATGTGGATGCCTTATTAGGACATTCACATTTAAAATACAGGTGATCACAAAGGTTTGTAGGTACAGGTATCATGCATGGGTTCCCTTTGATGCCGATTTGGATATCCAGATCAGAGATATCTCATACATCTATTGAGGAAACTTGAACAGACACCTGGATCAGAGTTGCTAGGTCAAAACTGATTCGACAGTACAATGATATAACCCCTTTTTACCTTGTATTTGGACAACTGGGCCTTCTTCTCATAGAGTTCGCTCTTTGGCTCCACGGGAGTATGTAACATGGCTTGGTACTCCATGACCCACTGAGTCTGTGCCTTGTACTTGTCTGAGAACTCTTTTGCCAGCTGAAGACACTTCTCTGAAGTCATGTGCTCTTTCCTGATGGAGCCAGCCAGCTCCTCAAGCTGTTCCACATGATCTCCAATTTCTTTTCTTAACTGGTCAACTTCATTTTCCTCCATGTACTTTATAGCTCGCTCCCCCTTCTCACGGGCAGATTTCAGTAAACTGTGGCCTATGTCCATATCACTCAATAGCAGCTGTGAAGGAAGTGTTAGTTAACAGAAAATGTATCCATTTAGATACGGACACAGAAGGAATTACTAGGAAAATTGAATGGACTTTTCATTACAAAATTGCCTGGAGTTAAGGTGTGGTAAACTAAAAAAGCAGTACAAAAAGCAGATACATCCTCACTGGGCTTGTGAAGATAAACACAGAAACTGAGGTCTCTTAGGAGAACACTAATAATTGATTTGAAATGGATTAAAGATTTCTTTCAACTCTGAAACATGAGTTTTATTACTAATTTATTTCAATGAGGAGAAATAGGAAGCACTTTGTTACAGTGCATGCTGGTATAAAATACACATGACAGGATGCCTTGCGAGGGGAAACACGCCTTATGGAAGGGTAGGATTGTATTATTTAGAACTATTGATAACCTCAACAACCAAAGTATACAAAGTTTTATGCTGGGTCATCTTTATCCTATTAGGTTATCTAGGCAAGTTGAAGTCAGAATTTTGAGCAGCTGTTAAGATGCATGTTAAAATATAGAATCTTTCTAGTGAACAGAAATAAAAATTAATTCAAGAAAGCTGTACCTCTAGTTTCTGCACTTTTTTCTCCATTGCTGTTTTATCAACCATGTCGAACTTGGTGATCACATTTCTGAAGTTCTTGTTAGTTGCTCCATACCAATTTGCATAAGCGCTAAAAGCCAGTTCTGACTCTTCCATACAGCGTATTTCTTCTTCCAGAAACTTTATTTGCTCCTTCAAACAAATATAAGGGTGAGGAAACAAGAAACACCCAGATGTTTATTGAAGGCTCATTGGCTAAAAATAGCAATAAATTATTATTTATTAGTAAAATCTGATAAGATTAAACAGATTTTGAGTTCTTTCATTCCAGTGGATAATTCTCCCTAGGGTCTTGTCAGATTGTACATACAGCAATCACTGATATTAAAACTGAATTAATACTAAGCAACGAAAAGGTACTTACATTTTGCAATTTGAATTGTGACTTGAGACACTTATTACTTAAAGTGACCTGAAGACTGTTCCTTATAAATTCAAATTTTCCCTTACCTATGAAAACATTTCTCTATAGGTCGCTTAGCATTCAAACATACTGAATTCTGAATTTCTGCCCTGAGACTGCTAAAAAAGATAGTAACAACATCGGATTAATACTGAATATTTTGAAAGATCATTATCCCTATTATCATTATCTAATACATTTAGTTCATATATGTGTGTGTACATATGAATATATATATGAATATTTAATTAAGTCCACAGTAATGAATAAACTCTGATAAAGTCTAATTAAGAAAGTCTGTTTATATTTGCTTAACTGTCAATTTATGATATTACAATGAATTAATTTTCATTACTTACCAAGACATGAAGAAGAAGAGTTTGATAGCGTGATGTAAGCTGTGTAGCCTGGCTTCCCATTCTGCTTGAAGTGAGACTTTCCTCTAGTATTTGCTGTGCCAATACCCCAACTTCCTCCACATCATCTTTGTAGATTGTAATTTCTTCATGCCACTTCTATGACAAAGACATCCAGTTTATATGACTGATTCAAACATCTTAAACACAACAGGAATTCATTGAAAAGGAGAACAAACACATGGTTGTAAGCATGGATTTACAACAGGAAAATAAACAGATTCTGATGAAGGTTAACATAATGAATATGCTGGAAGTTTCATCATATCATATGGACTTCATTTCATTACAATAGTTTCAATATTCTCCCCAAAATAATAATAATAGAAATGCAACCTGGACTTCCTATAGAATTTGACTGAAGTTTTAAAGATGACTGTAAAGCGTAACCTTGAATCTCTTCAAATATGCTTCCTTCATTTACTCAGAACTATGTCTTCTCCTTGCAATGACTAAAGGAGAATTATTATATGAGATATTATTACATTACTATACAGCAAAGACGTCACAATACAGCTGGTCACATTTTACTCTTGTTACCACATTAACACTTTCCTATTGTCCTGATTTTAGCTGAGATAATTTTCTTCCTGGTAGCTGGTACAGAGCTGTGTTTAGGATTTAGTATAAGGATAATGATGCTAATACACAGATGTTTTAGTTGTTGATCAGTGCTTACTCCAGGTCAAGGACTTATTTAGCTTCCCATGCTCTGCCAGTAAGAAGGGGCCCAAGAAGCTGGGAAGGAGCACAGCCAGGACAGCTGACCTGAACCAGCCAAAAGGATATCCATATCATAGAATATCATGCTTAGTGTATAAACTGTGGGGAGTCGGCCAGGAGCCACAGGTCACTGCTGGGGGATGGGCTGGGCATTTGTCAGTGGGTGGTGAGCAATTGTATTGTACATCACTTGTTTATCTTAGGTTTTATTCCTCTCTCTCTTTTTGTTATCTCCCTGTTCATTATTATTATATTACATTTTACTTTATTTCAATTATTAAACTGTTCTTATCTCAACCCATGGGTTTCACCTTTTTCTGATTCTCCACCTCATCCTACAGTGGGGGGAATGAGTGAGTGGCTGCATGGTACTTTGTTGCCAGCTCAGGTTAAACCACTGCTCCAGGACTTAATCTTTGTTCTCAGTTGTGCCTTCACATACCACATAGTATATGAATACAAGATCTCCCTATGAGATTTCAACATTGGTATAGCCATACCCATAACAGTAAAATAGGAGGAACCTGGACCCAGAAGGCATGAAGCTCTCTCGGATCCATCATTCTAGGCACTACCTCAGAATAAATTACAATGCTTCCCTGTCATTTTCACAGTGCAACCAGGAACCGGTATGGAAACCTCACATGGTATTTTGTTTAAGGAATGCCTTAACTATATTCTTTACCTTCATTTGTTGAAGCTGCATTTCCTTTGTTGCTCTACCAGACTGACTCCCAGTCCTGACAGCAACTTTCCCCTCCAGGTCTGTTAGCCACTCATTAACCTTCTGAAATTTTTTCTCCATTAACCTCAGTCTGCTCACAGTGGCATTTAATTGGCTTCTTGCTTCAGAAAGTCTGTGTTGATAAACTTGCCAATCCTGCCGTAAGGATTCCAGGGCTCGATCTTCTATCTGAGGAATGCCCCAGGGAATCACCTCCTCTCTGGCATGGACAGTAGCATTCAATAATGCTTGTCCTTCTGCACAGTGGACCTGCAGCTCCTGTAATGGCAGAGTTATGAATACATACCCTACATTAACAGCTTCCATACACACATGGTAAACGAAGTCCTGGTTCTACTTAAGACAAAAGCAGTTACCTCACATTATCTAGATATTCCCTTTAGTTACCTATGGTTGAACACATACTACTAAATTTCTGCTAAGTTTATAATCAGTTCTGAAATATTAGCTGCCTGTGCCGGCATGAGATGAATGCAATCCTCAAGCACAGCCTTACATTCAAGCCTTCTCAGCTCTGTGGCAAGTAGACCGTAAGACTGATTCTAAAATTGTATCTATTTAAAAACAAGCAACAAAGTGAGACTTCAACCTTTTAAAATAAACCAACCTATTATTTTTACATATGTTTGAGACATCATTCCAAAAGAATTCTCAATACCCTTTTCTGGACATGTGTGGTATCAGCTTCAGATCATAACTTGGAAACTACTGAAGTACTAGATTCACCCTTCACTGTCACTTAAATGATTCAGTAATAACCTTCAAATCTCACCATGGGAGCCAGCCTACATGACTGGAACTGCCTGAAAGTAGATGCATTGCACTGTAAGCAATAAAAGATGAAAATCCAATGAAAAGAATAATTTTGACTTTTTATGAAACACAGGGAAAAGAAGAGGTAGACCAACATCTAAACCAAATTCAGTACTTGCAAGAAAGGATTAGTATGCCTGAAGATTTTATTCAAGGCCTGACACTTCTTTCTGGACTTGAGTGACAATGTTTCCATTGACTTTACTGGAACCACTTTTGAGCAGCAGAGTGTGTATGTATATATATATATATACACACACACACACACACACACACAGAGTGTATATATATATATATATACTTCATATATAATGTGATTCTAAGCTGTTCTGGAGACAACAGAGATGTAATTTTTCTCTGGAAATTAATTTTATTGCATTATTACACAAGTAGAATTATGGTTTTACTTAGACTGTCAGATGTTATGTACCTGTAAGCCTCGGAGTGTTGCCTCCTGTTTCTGGACATCACCATCAAGATGTGATAAATGGTCAAGTTTTTCCTGTTCCTTCTCCAGCCATACTTCAAAGACCTTCAGATTTCTTTGGTATGCTTGATGTAAGTTAAGCAGGCCTTCAGCTTTCGTTACTGCCTCCTGTATATACATATATTAGTGTATCATCGAACCAAGAAGACATAAAACCCAGACTTCTATCAAGAGCAAAAGTCTGTATCTGATGTTGAGCTGTCCTAAAAACCAAGAGTACTTGGATTCTGAGAATGGTTTAATCAATTACAGGGAAAAAGAGGGTAAATGTTGAGAAACAGATACTTGTCCTGAAAGATTCTTCACATAAGTTTGTGACTTCTTGGATTTGAAGTTTTGATATGGGATCACTTTTAAACAACATTGTGCCTAATAACAAATGACCTCAATTCTTATACCAATTTAAATTAACTTTACTGAAGTCATTAATAAGGGTGTGAGCTTAGTGCATATTCACGATTTTTTTTTCCAATGGAATAACAATATTCTATTAAAAGTATCTAACATCTTTAGGTTTGAAGAGTACCCAAATCCTTTGCAAGCAGTTCCTACAGAGCACAGTGAGAAACAGCTGGAAGCGTTCTGTGTATATGGATAAGCAAGCTACAATAATTTCACAACCCAGCACTAAAGCATTGCCTCTCTGAGCATATATTAGGCATTATTTAATAATTATAGAAGAATTTGGGCTAACTGAAGATAATCACCTACTTTTAAATACCTTTAAGTATCACCAGTTCTTTTATTATTTCTTCTTTACCCTATATTTTACATCTTTATCTGTTTATGCCCTTATCTCTTGACATGAAATTCCTCAGACTATTCACCTGAAGATTTTCTCAGATTCAGATTTTTAGAACCTTTCTGAAGAGATCTGAAGCTTAGTGGTACAGATTGATAAATCACCCTAATAACTTTCTCTTACATTAAGTTACAGCTGCCCTGAAACTTCTGCTCCTCATTAATCTGTAAAATCAATGATCAGTAAAAAGACTTTCTCTTTTTCCTTGTTGCTAACCAAACAGGAGTGAGTGCTATCAAGAAAAACTGTACCCTTGTTCTGTCTTTGAGGAACTTATACCGCTCCTGAAGGTCCTGGAGTTCAAGCTGAGTGACATAATGCTCAGCCATCCCACTTCCTTTCACTTCAATCGTCTCCAACAGGCTGCTGTGACTCAACACTTCTTCATTGAGTAGCTGCAAAAAAGAAAGAGAATAATACATTTATGAAAGGGCAGAATTAAAACAAGATCACAAATAAGTCTTGCAGTTATTCTGTCTTTTTTTGTTGCTTATAACGGCTTGTTGCTGGTTTGTTGTAAAGCAAACACACCTTTGCTTTGCTGAGGGCAGCTGTTTTTTCCCTCAGTTCAGCATATTGCATTTCAGAAGCGTTCATACTTGCTTCTACTTTATCCATCCAGCTGGAAAACTGACGAACATCATCCTGGTAACTTGTCCATTTGGAAAGAGCTCCTTCCAGTTGACTGTAATGTAAAAATACACGTGTCATTATAGTGTATGTTCTCATGCTATACAAGCAGTGAGGTATAGTCATATACAGTTATTCTAGACTATATTTATAAGAAAGATATCTAACAAGCTACGCAGCCTGACACAGAGCTGTTTAAAGCCCTATAGATTTTAATTAGGAGCACTGTTCAGCTGATAAAGAGAAATTAAGTTTTCCAAACTTGGAATAGTACAGACTTGGAGGTCTGTAGTTATGTAGATAGATGACATATTCTTGCTTTAGTAAATAAAATACAGCTGAAAGCCTAAGATCCACATTCAGAAATTTTCTGTCCCTTTGCATACATTCAAAAGTTGCTGTATTCCAATGTTTAGTTACCTTTCTTGTTTTAAATTGAAATATTTGCATTAGTGAAACCCTACCAAAGAAGGCTCATTTTCCCCTTATATTTCTTTATTCTACTACTTTGAGTATCATTATTGGACACTATAATTACAGTACCTTCTGAGAAATGCTAGCAAGTGGAAAACCAGACAGGATCTTGACAGAGCAAGCATTAATGTCTGTGACAAGATAGTTTCATTTCCGAGAACAATTCAAGGCATCAAGGGCAACTCAAAGTAAAATTTACAACAAGATTATGTACATGTCATCCACTTTTAAGACTATATTGACAATAAGTGTTAACAGTTTCCACCCCTTTTTCTTCTTCAAATGAATATGCCACTTATGGCCTCTAGGCCTGCAGTGTTAGGCAAATGCAGTCATTTTATATGAATTTGACTCTTGTAATAATAAAACTCTGGAAATTAACTTTCCAAAAATTTTGACAGTACTTTATTGCTGAGCATCATTCTGTACCGCATACCCTTTTTACCTCTTGCACTGGATACAAGCAGACAAAAGAGAAGCCCAGCTGTCTTTCAGGGTTTGCAACTGCCGTTCAATCACTGATACTCCCTCCAGAGAAGTATTTTGCAGAACAGATTCTCCTCTTGTTAGAATAATTTTCATTTGGATTTCTTTTTCCTGTTTTACTGCTAGCAGTCCCTAAAAAGTGAGTGGATATTGTTTTACTTTCATCATTAACCAGGCATGAATATACTAACTGGCTTTATTGGAAAATGAGATGATCGAATTTAGCAGCTTCATACAAATGGTCAGTTGGAAGAGGGACAGTGGGGCTCACAGCTGGGTTTCACAAGGAAAAAGACACTTTCAAAGGGTAGGTTTAGGCCATAATATAATCTTAGTTGATAGGGAAGTTTTCATGGAACCTGTGCAAGTACTTAGAGTGTATCAGAGAAGGTACTGTTGGGTGGAAAAGCTGATATTCTAAAGGGAATGTCATTTAGATAGAGAAAACGGTGACTCATTAGTAGAGAAAACAACGTGATGACAAAGCTTTTGCAACAACTAGTGCAACGTATTTTCTATTTACATTCTTCTTAACATATCTAAAAAGAGCAGGTTTTGGAGTCTGTTGTTTCCATACCTCTAGCTTTAACATCCGGCTGTCCAGAACACTCTTGTCTGCAGTAGGATGGCAGTAGGAATCCAGCATGTGAACTGCATCAGCCACCCAGTCCTCAAGGTCCTTGACACTGTGCGAGAACTGCTGGTGCTCTGCTACCACCCTATCCATTCTTGAAACTTTTTCCTGCAATTCATACAGCAATTAGTACCAACAGCTATTCAAAGGGTTGCTTATTCTCCATGCCTACTTACGGACTTTAGAGTAAGTTTCATAAACTATACTCAGAAATTCTCTTTATACAGTGATAATTACAAGTATAGTTACTTAAGCATGGAATGAATTTTGCATGCATACACACACACATTGTCCAAACATAATATACAAATGAAAACTACCGAAATGTCTTTTTTTGTTTGTTTTCTAAGTGTAAAGCTTCATCTAATTGTCTCCTCTCATCCAAAGTACATGACAGTTTTCTGGTTTCACTTTTTCTTAAACATCTGGTAAATCACACCTAAATTCCATGTAAGAGTGGCAACTGAAGATAACTTTTCTGTTTTCCTCAATGACTTCCACTGGTATAACTGTTCTTCTGAACCCCCCAACAATACAACACAAAACCGAAAAACCACTCCACTCCCACAAATCTTGAAAAATATTTGTTTCAGGTGCCACTAAAATGTCTTCAATGCTTGAAATAATCAAAATCAAGCCTGATTATTTTATGAGGTGGGGTTTACTTTTTAATCAAAGCACATTTAAAAACAAGCAAAAAAAAAAAAGTTATAATTCCATTTTGTTGACAGTCCATGGAATTATCCAGGTCATTACTTCTTACTCTTTAGCTAGTGTAAAGGCAAGATAGCTTAGACATACCACAGAGCAGACAAGCAAGACAGCTGCCGTGTTTCACATTTCAGTCTTTCTTTTTCCCCACATACATCAAATGAGCTGCTCGAAAGCACATACACTTGGGTGCATTACCTTTGTCAGATTGCTTAGAGTAAGATATTGAGAAGACAACTGAGACACTCTGCGCATAAAGCTTTTGCTGACAGCTTGCTCTTCCCACAGCTGCTGAGCTTTCTCTTTTAGCCTGTTGAGCTGATGCTCGTGGCAGCTTATTTCCTCAAGGACAGACTGTAAAGCACAAGCACGTTAATATTAAGAGTGGGTGCAAGAAAGCAGGAAATAGAGAAACATGAAGGCCCCATGAAAAATAGAAGTGACATATGGCAAGCTTGCTGAGAAAGGCACACCATATGGCTACAGCAATGAAGCAGCATGTCATAAGAAATATGGAGATGTGGAACAGGATCATCAACAGCAATCCTTGAAACCAGTTCTCATCTCATTTAGAGGTCAGGATGCTAGAATGATCAAGCTTTTGTAAGGAATCAATGAGGCCAGGAGGATGCGACAGGAAAGTCTGGCTGTGTTAAAAGGACTTATAAGAAATGACCTGCAACTTTTGCTGTTCTCTCCTCTTAGAAGGAAGATCATGGAGCCGACTGCTACTTCCTTGTACCATCTTCTCAGTTGTGGTCAGCCACTCCTGCAGGGGCTCAGCAGTTGCTTCAAAGTCCTTCATCTGGATTTTTAAGTTCTGGGAAGACATGCACAATTCTATCAACAGTCCCATTGCACTGGGTATAACTGTAATGCACAACATTACAGCACACAAAAAGGATATACAGTTGCAGCCAAATACTACACAATTCTTCAAATAAACACTAGCTCTGCTCCTTCCCATCCCACAAACAGACACTGAAAGAAAAGTCAGAGAGAGCACCGCATCAAGAGGCAAAATAGAGGCAAAAATGCTGAGGAGAGGCTGAAATAAATTTCCTCTGAACTGAAAGCTTTAGAGATCTTATAAGCTTTGACTCAATGTAAACCTATCTCACACAGTTAAAGCAGTCTGAAGAAAGGCTAATTTGGGATATGAGTTACCTAACATCTGCCTGCAGTCATTCATACTGGCTGCCACTATTCCTAGGTGATGCATGACTAAGTTCAACCCAATCCTGGAGATCATTTCTGATTATATTCTTTTTTAGTTTAAAATTTTAGTTATAAACATGCATGCATAAAGGCACATGTAGGCATTCCTTCAGTGCCTGCATATTTTTCTGTAGGCTTTAATCATGCTTAATCTGCATGATTGAAAAAAAATAGCTTCTGAAATAATTCATATGGAAGAGAAGCTTGAAAAGCACAGTTTCTGTGCCCTAGTTATCTTTTTTTTCTCAGACTGACTTAGTTGTTTTTTTAGTTATAGCCTTATCACTTAAATTTAACATCAGAATGAAAAGCTAAGCCTATGAGACTCAAAAATGCTTGGCTCAAAAAGATTAACCTCTAAGAACATCCTCTTCCCATGGCAACCCTAGAGATGAAGAAAGGTAAGCCGCTGCTACCTGAGAATTTTCTTTGAAAGGCTTTCCTACACAATGTATTAAATGTACTTAAACCTTTTCTCAGCTGGCTAGGCAGCATTGGTCTGAAACAAGAACACCTAGGAACTTTCATTCTCCTCTGCTATGCAGGGAATTCTAGCTAAGACCTTTTGACGTTAAATCCTAAGACTCTAAAAAAAACCCCAAACCATGATTTTAAGATATTCACCCTCTGTGCTGGTTGAATTGTTAGTTCTGAACAGAGAAAGGCACTGGGATTTATTTTAAAAGTTATTCAAACAAATCATTGCATTTTACCAGTTTGCAATAAGAGAGACATTTACCCACTGTACAGGGACTATTCAATCAGCAACAGTCCTCAAAAAAGAAAATGTGTTTTAATAATCCAGTGTATTGGATGAGACTCATGTTAGTGAATTTCAGCAACTGCTGTCTTTGCTACCTTCAGTTACTCTGAACAACACCTTTCTCCATGAAACACCCCCCTTAAAGTGAAATCAGGTCATAAAAATATAGGTAAATAAAAGTAAAATGTAAGCCAAAGAATAAGACACCTTGAAAACAGCTATGTATTAATTCTGTCACATCATCAACACTTACAGCTATATACAAAATCTAAACTATGCTGTTTGAAACAGAAAGCAAAGAGGAAAGATCCAACCTTTCCCCACTGTTACTGGTTCAATACCTCCAAGACAGATTCCTTCTGGTGGAGGGTGGTGATAAAATTTTTCCAATCCTCTTTAGCAGTAGCACATTTGTCCTGGATAACTTCAGCCTTTTCTTTTGTTAAAACAGAGCACAGCAGCTCTCCTTTGGATGCTACCAAGTTTAGTTTTTGTTGTCCATTCTCACTTTCTGTTAGGAATTCCTAAAAATAGTAACAAAAGAAGCTAATTAGTGAACTTTGGGTCCCAGGAAAGGTCAATGGCAAGATTCCAGAAAATTTAACAGGGAAAAGAGTTTATTGTTTCTGCTCGTTAACATGCTAACGCATCTTTCGGCACACTCCATTTTAATATCATTAATATTTATGGGATTTAGGGACAACAGCTACTTAATCCAGAAGTGCCATGCATCTAAATAATGTATATATTAAGGATCTAGTACCACCTGTATATTCTGCATTTCATGAGACCATTACTGGTCATTTAGTTGGGTATACTTCTTTCAATCTCCCTGGTACAGAAAGTGGCAACAGTTTCTTTTTGGGGAACTAATATCCTGGCATAGGTAACAGCAGGAACCAGGACCCACTCTGAGGCACACACACAGGACTGAAGCCTTGCCCATGGGCAATAGCTACACTGGACTTCCAATGAGCACTGTAGGGGCGTGGGCTGACACTTAGACCCTCAGCAATGCCTAAGTTGTGTGATTTATCTCCCTGTATCCTTAATTTACCCTCCCTGTTTGAAAGTATTTTTCTTCACAGAAATCTTGCACAGTGCTGGTGTGCAAGAAGTGTATGGAAAAATGCATGTGCAAGAGCTATACAGAAATGTAAGGAAACAGCCAGATTTTTAAATTCCAGTGTACTCAGATATTCTTGCAACTTGTAATAATTATTAAAAGGCTTTGTGAGCTTTTAGAACTCCAAGAAATTTAGCATTCAAAAATATCAATATTCTAAAACGTTATTATCATGATTATGTGATACAAAAATAGTTTCATACCCATACTCATAAGGTTGCATCCACATTTAGAATTAACAGGCTTGATACAAAAATTACTAACTCAGGTTCTGATTCTATGTTGCACTAGAGGTTTTAGCATAGAATGCAAAGAGTCTGTTAGCCTTGAGATACTTGGTTCAAGCTCTGGCTATATTAAAATCAAAGATATAATTGCCTTGTGACTTAATGATGTTATATGTGCTAACAGACAGAACATATAACTTTTAATAAAAATAAAATTTTAAGTTTATACAGGTTACCAAGACATGTCTAGAAGTCCTAAAGCTGTTGCTGCATGTTAAAGAGTTTATTTCACTACAAGCAGCTTTCAGGGAGGAGGAGAACAAAGTAAGGTCTTATGTTATGAAGGGGCTGCAACGATAAAGCAAAAAAATCTTACCAATGTTAGAAAAAAAAAAAAGAAAGCCCAACTTGCTAAAATTTTTGCATTCAATAACAAAAACTACTAGGATTTTTTTCCCCTGATATTTTTTCTAAACATATATTCTCATTTTGGGGAGCCAAAGATTTGATATATTAATACAGTATTGTTTATGCTTTAAGTGAAACATTTAAGCAAAGGAAAGTAAATGTATCAAAAGGAGAAGAATGTGATTTGGGATTTTGTGTTTTCTGAGACCCTCATATGAATTTCTTCTGTTACACTAACTGAAAGTTTAACAGTCTCATTATGTAATTCTCATTTTGCTATTTTCAGTTGAAATTAAATCTACATTCTATTCGTAATAGCATTTATTTCACTCACTTTATTAAATAAACTTATAACTGGCACTCTTTTCCACAGAGTTGTTTGGGCTTGTTTTAGCTTTATGTGAAAAAAATATTTTTTAAATGCTTGTTTGCATTGCATACATTTTAATTCTCTTCTTGAAATATAAGGGCTCTAGTTTCATATATGAGGAAAAATATTTACATAACTTTGAAATAATTCCAGGTACTAAGTTCTGATTCTGATATCATTCTGCTTTTGTAGTACTGATTTTATAGACTTTAAAAACGTATCTTTTCCTAAAATAAAAAAGAAACAAATAAGGAAAACTAACAGGAGAGACAATGACTACCTATGAACTATTAAACTAAATGATTAAACTAAACAAACTAGATTAAAAAGGAAGCATTTTTTCATTGTAATTAGTCACCTTTAGTGTTATTATAACAACATTAACAAAATA